CAGTTGATGTATCGATTGCTGCACAGAGATCCCAAAAACAGACTAGGATCACGAGAAGGTGCTAACGAAGTTAAGCAGCATCCCTTCTTCCGTGGTATAAATTGGGCTCTTGTTCGTTGCATGGTAATTAATCAATCATACAGACTATATTCTTATTATTATCATTGTAATTATGCTTAAACGCGATTTATTAACTAATATGTTTATTAAACACCTTCAGAGCCCTCCCACGCTCGACGCTCCCATTCTCGAGGAGAAAGAAACCACTGTAGATCCTGGACTAGATGATTTGCAAACGAATGTGTTCTGAAAGGTACTATATATTTTCTATGATTTAAATTTTTTTTTTTAAATATTCTGAAAAAAGAATACTAGCATCTTGCAACAGTACTGAAAATATTCACTCTCTGAAGGTGCACAGTGACGATGAAGTTGTGCGACAATGGCGTTTTAGCTGCTGATTTGTTCTGGCGTTCTTCGTTCCTTTTGCGTGCTGTTAGAGTTGAAATCCGGTAACTTGTGCTCTTGTTTTTGTATTTCAAGGTTGTGGTGAGTTAGTCTGTTGTTATTTGTTGTTGACTGGTTGTTAAGACATCTTTTTTTTTTCTTTTCCCTGAAGGCATTCTCCATTCTTTCTTACAGTGCTGTAGTTTAAATTTGTGTGATCCAGGTTGTTTTGTAATACATCAATAGTGTGTTTGTTTTATTTCTGAAACATGCTTCAATTTTTTTTCTTTATATGATTTTTTTTTTCTTTTTAAATAAGAAAATGGAAAAATTGTCATTGTTTTTGCATGTGAATAATTAATAGGGTCATGAATGCGTATGTATAATATTAAATAATGTCTGGAAAAGGAAAAGAAACGTGCTTGTGAATAATTGCAAGCATTTAAGTAGGCGACCTTTTACACTACCTAAGAGGCAATTATATAATCAATGCACATCCTTTTTTTTTTTACATTTTCTATAAGGTTTACTATACTTTACTATAAATTAATTCCAATTTTGGAATTACTGTACTATTCTTGAAAATTAAACCTTAGAATCAGGATTTGAATATTTATGATGAAATCATGAAATACAGTTTGCCCTACATTCATATATATATATATATATATATATATATATATATATATATATATATATATATATGTGAAATATCAAGAGATGCATGTAAGTCGAGGCAGGTAGGAGTATAAATAGTGGTAGGTTTGATTTGATTTGATTATAGGCTCCACATTTTGAATGACATTTATTGGGAAATAACACTATATATCAAACCCCAGATAGCAGAGCAAAAATATATATGAAGCACGTAGAATTAAAATTCCGTTGGGTATTATAATATTTATGAAACGACACCTTAGATTTCGGGGATCCGACGTTGAAATTATTAAAAAAATGCACTGTTGATATTTTTGGTAATAAAGAGGTTATAATAATTTTATGTATTGGAACAAAATAGGGTACTTAATTAATTTTTAATTAGAATTAAGGCACCTGGGGTAACATCATTATATATATTGTCTACTGTCTTAGCTTGTTGGATATTTAATTTCTCAGGTAGATTTCATGGATACGCAATTAGTTGAAAAAATAATACTGGAAAGCGAGTGTACATATATAAATCATCAATGAAAATTAAAGTTGTACGTACGTACGTACTCAGAGATTCAAGAAGTATATATATATATACACAGAGAATATCTATATCTATATATATATGGAGTGTCAATCACGTACGTACGTACGTATTGCGCGAAAAGCAGTTTTCAGACAAGATAAACGGAGCAGAGCCATTTAAAAATTTAAAAGGGGGACAAAAATCAGTTTTATCATGCATGCAGTTGGTAATGATTAATGATCTTAATTTTGTACGTACTCAATGCTTATTGGCTATTGGTAGGTTCTGTGGGCCGTAAAATAGTTACTCCTAAATATAATGTTCCAAGCACTCAAGTAACTATCAAATTCAATAAAATATTGGAATAATAATAATAAATTAACTTCATATTTAATTTTCATTAATTATGTAAAATGATACCACGCCCTTTATTCTCTATACCGATGTATAATATATATTATTCAAATTTTGAATGGCCCCACTTCTGAACAGATGGATGGTTCTGGAAAACCGGGAAAAAACAAAACATATATATATATATATATATATATATATATATATATATATATATATATATATATATATATATATATATATATATATATATATAGACGCAGAACGGACACTCCGTATAGATTTTTTTTCTACGAATTAATCCTATCGAACAAAATCACTTTCGGAATCAACCGAACACTCTGGAATCCACCAGAAAATAGAGAAAACTCTAAATATTTTATTAAAATTCGAAATTCTTCTCAAAATAAATTCCTAAGGCAACTATTTATACTAAAAAACTGAAAACCCTAATTAAACTAAGAAAATACTAAAAATTACCAAAAACGGCAAAAACGAGTTAGAGTCTGATTCTAGTAGATCTCGTATATTTTGGGAACAATCCAATTTACGGAATCCTAATCCGATTTTTCTATGATTTGATATTAATTTTCTAAAACTTGCCTAAAATAGCAAAAACGAACTTTTGGGAGTCTAAACGACGTTGGATTACTGAAATTTGATGTGATTCATGAGCTTTTCTCATGAGTTTTGTTCCTTGCGCCGTTTCACTTGAGATAGACTTCGTTTCGTACTCAAACACAATTTGAGTTCGTAGAAAACCCTTATTTTCCCATAATTTCTTTCGATATTTCCACCAATGCCCATCAATAACTCTTCTCCGAATTAAATATTTATTTTGCACTTCGAATCCAATTTGACGTTCCTTATCATATATATATATATATATATATATATATATATATATATATATATATATATATATATATATATATATATATATTATAGAAGCTCACAGTCAAGTCAAATCAACGGAGCGAGCTGAAAGAGAGTCATTAGAAGCAGAAGACTCGAAAATGCTTTTCTTAAATATATAAGAAAAATATGTAAATTAGTACAATCAAGTTAATCTCGACCTAATTAAGGCGAGTTAAACTAGGAAGTGATATATTAGAGAGATCGTCCTATATAAACTCTTATAATAAGTCCGATTAGAGACATGATTTAACATCAAACTCTTTATACTCCCTTCCATTCCAAACGTAACTCTCTCTCATAGTTATCATTTTCCGTTCATCGTTTCACCACCACCAGTCTAATTAGATCCGACGTCCGATGGATTTTCCGAAGACGGTTTAGAAGGATTAGGGTTTGGAGTGATGTGTTGAGAGTGTAGGTAATTAATACACACCGTAGTTTATATAGTTAAAAATGGTTTTCAGTGTCGACTACGAACTGCATGCAGTAAGAATATTTGTACCTGCTGTAACTTTTGGTCGATTTGTGTAGAGTTTACAATTAGAAACCCTAATAATTAATATCACAGAAAAGAACCCTTTTGTCTGTATATAAATATATATAGTATATATATATGCCCGCCTGTCCGAATTGAATGTCCCGGCTGGAAAGCAGCTGACGACGTAAGTAATGACAAGCACTTTTGTTTGGTACAAAATTAATTCTCTCTCATCCGTCCAATTTTCTCTCTCTAGCTAAAGCTTCTCCCCCACCCCCCAAATCCACCTTTTCTGTTTAAATATATACATACACTCACTACACAGCTTTTTTCATATCACATAACTGTAAAGTGTAAACCCTAAAAACTATATACCTTAAATAAAGTATACCTACATACAGACATATATATGCATGTCTCCTTCACGAGCTAATTGCAGTAGTACTAGTAGTAGTAGTGGTCGATGGAGTCCAACGCAAGAGCAGGTAATGGTACTGCACGCACTGTACAGAAGTGGGTTGACTAAGCCAAACCCTTCCCAGGTAGAGAGAATCACCTCCCAACTTTCCCTCTACGGTAGGGTTCAATCCAAGAACGTGCTTTACTGGTTCCAGAACCGCAAAGCCAGGGATCGGAAAAATCTCAGGAACAAACTGCACCAACAGCACCAACCCCAACTGTACCATCATCATCATCAGCTACTAATTAACAATTATTATAATACTACCCCTTCTCCCTTCGCCCTTCAATTGTTCAATTGTTTCCCACAGGTGCTAAAAGCTAAGCGATTTCATGAGTTTCTTCGTCTAATTTGTTATTTTTGCCTCCAAATTATTTTATAAGCTAAATTGACTAACACGTGTGCACGTGGTGTAAAGGAGGTTACTGCAGATCGAGGCCGAATGACATGGACGGCGGACGATCTTCCGAAAGAATGCTCGATCGAAACGAACGGCCAGGATTCGGTGCGCTACAACAGAAAGAAGAAGCCCCTGGAAACCCTAGAGCTATTTCCTCTCAGACCAACTACTGTGTAATAAACATTCAAGAAACTAACCATTTGCATGCATGCGCAGGCAGCTTTATATATATATATATATATATGAACCGTACCCTAGCTATCTTTCAAATAATAATTATACAGGTGGCCATATTGGCATAGATAACATGCACGTACTTTCTCTCTCTGCATTCTTTACTTCTCTCTCTCTAAACTAGTCTACCCTACTACCATGCAGACAAGTTTATATATTTTATAATTAATTAATTAATTAATTGTACTGTACTGTTGGCTGTTTTCTGTTACGCACGTGTTCTGTAATCTGTAGTGATTAAAAATCAAGTGTCAGTCTTAATAGTTTTGACTTGCCAATCAGTTTGTAGCCTCTCGGTTGTTTTCTTCTGTTAAGCATTGCATATTGTGATTTCATTTGTCTGTATATACGTATATAATTTCCTTCAAACCTACCATTCAAAAATCACGTGCATATATATATATATATATATATATATATATATATATATATATATATATATATATATAAATTCCTTCAAACCTACCATTCTAATGGTGTGGGACTAAATTTCTGCAGGGGGTTTGGGGGCAGCCGGCAGTGGCCCCGAACTGTTTTTAGTCATAAAATATTCGGAAAAAAATGGCACAAAATATTTTTTTTTAATATTTTAATTAAATGATATAGATTAAATTGTATATTGTCCAAATATAATTAGTGGAGCTATATATATATATGTTCAAAAATTCCCCCCTTCTTCTGGTTTTAGTTAATGGAAACTATGTTAATTAAACGACGACTGCTCGAATCCTGTTATTGCGATTGTAAGAGACGTTGGTTTGTTTTGTACATAGAGGACTGATATATATATATATGACTGTTTAGATATATACATTTAATGACATTAAATCAACTAAAAGATCATCGGCTTGGATTGAATGATTCATAATTCATGAACATTCGATCTAGTGAAGCTCGATTTTCAACTTAGATCAACCGGTGCTAATTTTCCAGGCCCGAGGACTAACTGTTTCTAGACCTGCAATTCGCATTAGCTTTCGTCGCAAATTTCTGATATATTCAGAAGTTCTCCTTGTGAAAATGGAAACGGCTCGACGAATTCATGGTGAATTCGTGACACAGCTTTTTGAGCGGTTTTGTTATTGTTGGATTTCCACAACAGAAAACACCTGAAAAATAAAATGATTATATTATAGTATATATATTCATTCAGTTTGTTTATATACTATCTTTACCTATCCGAGTCGATGGATGTGCGTCGACTAAATGCGTAAACACTTTTCTCCAATTCGGCCGTGCAAAATGTGTGTGTATCTGTGTACATATACGAATTTGTTAGTTTGCGCGTGTGTGTGTGTGTGTATATATATAATTATCTATATGCGTAGTTTTTATATACCCTGCTATCCGAAACGACATCAACGCCGTTTTTCGCACGTTGCAATGACTGCACCATTGCGATTAGTGCTGATCGAGCGTCTCCTTCCTCGTACACGCTCGACAAATAATTATGCATTTCTATCAGATGCTGCTTCAACATAATTGAGAGAATTAAATTAAAATTAAAATTAAAATTTTCCCATCGAGTTTATAACAATGCTTGGATCGGAGTAGCTAGTATTAAATTAGTAGACCTAAGTACGTACATTATGATCGTATTCTGCAATGTCGTCCATAACGCCTTCGAACCAGTCTAAAGCTCCTTGCTCCCTCGTCACCCAATAGAAATACGCTCTTTCCGGACCCTTCTTTTCCCCGCCTTTTCTTACCTAATCGATACGACGACAAACTTATATATATTTAAATATTTTCGGCTAATTAATTATGATTATTACTTACAGGCTCATTGTTCACTATGTCTTTAATAATGCTAATGAAAGGCGTGGCACCGATTCCCAAACCGATGAGCAGAAGAATGTCGTACTTCTTGTAATTCTGAGCTGGCGCTCCGTACGGCCCCTTAATCACGATTATCGGGAATCTGTTATCAGCAAATGAAAATATAATATTTATGTGTATATATATTTTATATCTATAGCTTATCAAATTAAATTTCTTACTGATCATCGTCAATTTCCGAATATCCCCTGGTTTCCATTCTCATTCGATTTCCCCCTCTTCGTTGCGTAGATCGACCGCATGCCTGCGTAAGTTTCCATAGGATTATTCTTTAATAGCTTGTCTAAAATACACACAAAATATATATATATAAAGCAAAAATATGTAATAATTAAACCTTTGTGAAATAGTTTTTAAGTTCGGTCGTCCAGTCGCCCAATGTGCGTACGTGGATGCTTAGATAGTCGTCGTTTGGTGCCGATGTGATCGAAAATGGATGCCTGCAAATTAATAACTATTAGAAATTCATATAAAATAATTAAGATTCTTTTAAATATAGAATTAACTGAGTTCATGTTTACGATAATATTACCACTCGAAACTTGAAATATCAGGACACTTGACAAAAAGGTACATCCCACTCTTGTACTTGAATCCCGTCGGCTTACTCATGTATAGCGCTAACACGTTTCCCGTGTACACGACGGCCTGGAGAATTAATCGTAATTTATGAACAATTAAAATTAATTAAACCAATAAAATAATTTGAACAAAAAAAGAAATGGTATATATATTATAGTACATTAAGGATGTCAACTTCATAGTTGTCGTCGTAAATGGCGAGTATTCTCTCACTCGTGTAGGCCAGCATCGGCATTGCTACGTACATCCATGTCTGCCAACAACAGCGATTCGTTAATTATGTAAAAAAACTCGTTTGAAATTCGAAAAAAAAAAAGTTGACGTGTTGTACCGTTTTCTTGTACCATTCGTGGGTGAGGACAACGAAATGTCCATGGATGATTAACATGATGTAGACAAAGGCCAGTAAATGATGAGCGTACCAAAACGAGTTAAATCCCGCCAAATGACGAAAAGGCCCCTGCAGCTTAACGACGTTTTTCCGGAAGGAATGCGTCGCTAGTGTGAAAGAAAAAGTCATCAGGACTATCATCATAATGCCCGTTTTACCGATGGTATTTCCCAACAGATCCGAGTAAGTCGGCTGGCGGTAATGAAACGCCCGTCCGAAAATAGCGATGAACTCGTCTTTCGGGCATGATGCTAATCTAACAAAGTTGCAGCTAAGGTGCATCAGTATGTGGAGAATGGAGGCCAAGAAAATTTCCAGGGCGATGATTTTGTGGAAATTAATGTTGTCGTCGAAGGGTATAATCGTCCCGAGGAAAGTTTCTCGGAGCTTTGTGAGAGTTCTTCGGCACACGGGTAATAGAACTAGGGCCATGTTGAATTTTATAGTTTCGGAGGCGGCTTTGGCGAAGCAAAGACAATATCCCATGACTCGAAAAGCAGCCTTTTGTTTGTACTGATAGAATTTCCACGAAAATAGGGAAATCGTCACGCTTGTCCAAAAAACGAGGACCCATATTCTGCGCCAATTTTCGTAGAAATTTTCGGTGTTTTTCGACACTAATTTGCTCATAGGTGTTCGGTATTCTTTAGGGATCATGGTTCGTGCGAGTGTTTCGGTTTTTTCGTGGGGTTTTTTGTCCTTTTCGTTCGAGGCGACCATGCCTCGTAATAGTGCTTCGAGTTGCCACATCTATTTCGGAAAAAATATAAAAATGATTGGATATAATTAAAGAGGAGAAGAGTTTGAGAGATCGGTTGAAGAAAATTAATCGAGACCTCTATGTATCCTTTATTATCGGGGTCGAGTTCTTCCATGATCAACGAAGCGTAATTCGCAGCGTCTTGCTTGAATCTTGACAGCTTGTTTGCTGAAGCACTCATTACTAGAACCTTAAAAATAACAAAAAAATTAGCACATTCTTGATTCATTAAAAAAATAGGAAATTAAACAAAAATAAAATAAAAAAGTAAGTTGATGATTCTCACTTCTTTAACCTCATCCTCTGATAATTTTCCATCACCATTCTTGTCACACCTGCAAAATTAAATCTAAATTTATTAGTCTCATTAGAAATTAGAATAATTAAAAAAAAAAAAAAAAAAAACACAAAAACACACAGTGGGAAGTTTTATTACATGTCAAAGAAAATTTGGAGCCTAGTATCCAAGTCATGGTTAGTCATGTCTTCCCAAAATACCCTCGCTTGTTTTATGTTTATCCCGTTTTCCGTTACGATATTCCTTCGTCTCGCCAACGCCTCAAACAACTCCCCTGCAAATTCTTCGCTATCTCCCATCCCTTCATTCCCACACAGCAACACATGCACATTCACAACCAAATTAAAAAGACCAAAAATAAAATAAAATTACATAATGTAAATATATATACATATCAAAAAATAATTAAAAAATACCAATGCATTCGCCAAATTTATCCTTAAAAAGCATTCCGTTTACGGAGTTCTGGTGGAAACGGTTCTCGATGGCTAGCCAGGCCTCTTCTTCTTTCCCGGTGGTTGTTCTGTCGAGAAAACGAAGGCCCATTATACCCCTGTTCACACTCGACGGCGACGAATCCATGTGGGGCCCGCAATCGTGGACCTGATTCCTCTTCATTATGCTGTTTGCCTTCTTCTTTGCATATCTCTCCTTCGCGGCGCCCGATTCTACGTCCTCCATTCCGTCTATCTCTATTTTCTCCAATGTCCATTTTCTCGATTCTCCTTTCGGTAATTCCGACGATGCCATTACAAAATATCTCTCTGTTTCTTTTTTTTGTGTTAAAAAGTTTAAACAACTTCCAGGAGAGTGTGTATATAGATAGTATGTACTATATATGTGGGTTGCAGATACAACGGAAGAGAGAGAGGAGAAGAGTTAGTTAAATTAGTTACTATGATTGTTGGTTCCAATAATGTACCTGAAACATAGGAGGGGTGACAAATGGATATGTAATTATATATATATATATAGATTCTTGTTTTCAGTCCATTTCACATGGATTTTAAATGTGGATATCTAACATTCATCCAGTATAACTATTACTCGAGCTCTGACAAGGAGACAGGTGGCAACCACCAAGTCAGCAATTTGTTTGCAAAAACTACCCCTGTGAAATCTTTAATTGTCGAAAACGCCCCTATGTTCTTTTTTTTAGCAAGGACCCCTACGAAAATTAGTCAAAGCCAAAAAGGCCTCTGACAGGTTATCATGCTCTACACTCGCCCTATTAGCGTCTGGGGGTGCGTTTTAGGACCTGAAATGACCTAAATACCCTTTGTATTAGAAGTTTCAAAACTTACAGATTCACCCCAGAATTTTCAGCACCAAAAAGAAATTTTTAAAATTTTCAATTCAGTCCTTCCTATTCAAAAGGGCCATCTTTCCCGACGGGAAGAAGATAGAGTCCATTTTCTTTTCTTTTTCCTTTTATTTTCTTTTATTAAAATTAAAATATTATTAAAAAATTCACTAGGGACATTATAGTCATTGACTCATTTCACGTGAGCCAACAACTAATTTTGAAATAAGGGGCTGTGTGTTTTTTAAAATAAAACATAAGGAGATTTTTGTTAATTTGTTTAACACGATGATTTTTTCAACGATTAGAAATAACACAAGGGGGTCTGTCCTATTAGCTCCAAAAGTTAATATCGCAACTTAAGTGATTGATGGCGTTTTAACGACTTTCGTTTATTTATAGCACTTTCTATTTTTAACGTATTATAAATAGCAAGTTTCCCATCGTAGATGGGAGCTGATTTTCGTGAATGGTCTTTCGTCTTTCTTCTGAACTCTAGGTGTTCATGGAGTAGATCCCTCGAAGCCTTTTTCAGTTTATAGGTTTCCGGATTTCACTCTTATTGTAATCGTTTGAAGTTTGTAATAAATATGTTCCATCATATTCCGTTTCAACTTAGTTCTCTTTCTATTTATACTTTTGAGCATAACACGAAGGTTGTAACAAGTTTTCGTGTCATTTTTTCGATGATTCAATAAGAGAAATTGAAGATGCGATTATGCATCAGAAAGCGCATGTCATCGCATCACAACTATAATTGTACATATATCTACAAGAATAAAAAAAATTCAATAATGCCGTGTCACTGATCATAAAACAATCATCGAGTCTTGCTCCCTAAACCTCGACATGCAAACTTATATCCTAAATTATCCAGGCCGGTGTAACTGTTCTTGATCAGCATTTCATCTCTTTAAGCCCAAATTAATTGATCAATCAATGCATTCTTCTAGAAGTTTTCCTTGTGAAACTGGAACCGTGTAGACGTGTTCATCGTGAACTCCTGACACAGCCTTTTTAGCGGTTTCGTTAACGTCGGACTTCCACAGTAGAAAACACCTGAGAAAATAAATTAATTTTATAATTTTCCAGACATAAAACAATTTCATTAATATATAAGAATTAATGATATTATCTAATTATATATGAAGTTAAATGATGGTGATGGATTTATTTACCGATCCGAGTCGAAGGATGTACGCTCGCTAAATGGCCGAAAACTTTCCTCCAATTGGGCCGTGCGAAATGTGTCCGTATCTATATGTATTTCGGTTGCGAGTTCGATCAGACAACAACCTTAAAATCAGTAAAAAAAATAACCTTAAAATCAGTAAAAAATATATGTTCTGTTCTGCTCTGCATGGACTAGTAGTACTAGGGAGAATCTCTTACCCTACTTTCCGAGACAACGTCCACCCCGTTTTTCGCGTGTTGCAGTGACTGCACCATTGCTATTAGGGCTGACCTGGCATCTCCCTCCTCGTACACACTTGTCAAATAGTTGTGCATTTCTATAATATGCTGCAAAAAATAAAAGAAAAAAGATTTTGATAAAGAAAAAATAAAATTTCAAGAAGAATAAAGAAAAAAGATTTTGACGATTTACGTTATGATCGTATTCTGCAATGTCGTCCATAACCCCTTTAAACCAATCGAAAGATCCTTGTTCCCTCGTCACCCAATAGAAATACGCTCTTTCCGGACCTTTCTTATCGCCACCTAGATCATCCGTTAGCACCTGCAAAATGAAAGTTTTGATTATTTTTCGATCCCATGTTTTTTTTAATGTTGCGTAAAAAGAAATCCGAAACTGCATTCGGCTAAAAATAATAAGTAGTATATATACTTACAGACTCGTTGTTCACTATGTCTTTAATAATGCTAATAAATGGCGTGGCACCAATTCCCAATCCGACGAGCAAGAGAATGTCGTATTTCTTGTAATTCTGAGCTGGCGCTCCGTATGGCCCTTTAATCAAGATACTCGGGAACCTTTTGTCACGAAATTAAATGAAATTATATTAAGATATACGCAACATGAAAAAATAATTAAAAGTGTAGAGATCAAAGTTAGTTTCCTCACTCTTGTCGAGTGTCCGAATATGCCTTGGTTTCCATTCTCACTAGATTTCCCCTTCTTGGTTGTGTGCATTGAGGTTCACATGCCTGTATAAACATTCGTTTACGGATTTTTTTACGAATATTTAAATACATAGTCTAATAAATTCGATTAAATATGTAATTTACCTTTGCGAATTGGGTTCGAAGCTCTGTAGTCCAGTCGCCCAATGTACGTATATGAACACTTAGATAATCGTCGTCTGGTGCAGAAGTGATGGAAAACGGATGCCTGTATATTATAACCGAATCGGTTTTTTTTTTATATAAAAAAAATAATTCGACGTCGTTAATTAACAAGAATTCGATTAGAACATTGTTTATGTTTATATGTATATTACCACTCGAAACTTGAAATATCGGGACACTTGACGAAAAGGTACATCCCACTCTTGTACTTGAATCCCGGCGGCTTACTCATGTACAGCGCTAACACGTTCCCCGTGTATATAACAGCCTGTAATTACAAGAATTCGAATTCGTAATCCGAATAAAAAGAAAAAGAAAATCATTTTGAACAATGTGGTTACCTTAATAATGTCAACTTTGTAGTTACGATCGTAAAGCGTAAGTATTCTCTCACTCGTGTAGGCCAGCACCGGTACCGCAATGTACATCCACGTCTGCGAATATGTATATATGTTTTAATATAAGTTTATTCATATACAAAAGAAAAAATCGAAGAAAAAAAATTCGAAAAAAATAACGTACCGTTTTTTTGTACCATTCTCGAGTGAGGTATATGAAGTAGCCATGTATGATCAAGAGCACATAAACAATAGCCAATAAATGATGAGCGTACCAAAACGAATTAAACCCGGCCAAATGGTGAAACGGCCACGGCAATTTAACCACGTTCCTCCTAAACGAATGCGTCGCGAGTGTGAACGAGAAAATCATTAAAATAGTCATTAAAACACCGGTAACTCCGACGGTGGTCCCCACCACACCCAAGTAAGTCGGCTGCTTGTAATGAAAAGCCGGTCCGAAAATAGCGTCGAACTGGTCCTTCGGGCACGTTGTGAGTCTCACGATATTGCAGCTCATGTGCATGATTATGTGGACAGCTGTCCCTAGTAGAATCTCGATGGCGATGAGCTTGTGGAAATTAATGTTGTCGTCGAAGGGTATAATCATCCCGAGGAAAGTTTCTCGAAGCTTTGTAAGGGTTCTTCGGCAGACGGGTAATAGAATAAGGGCCATGTTGAATTTTATAGTTTCGGCTGCGGCTTTGGCGAAGCAGAGACAATATCCCATGACTCGAAAAGCGGCCCGTTGCTTGTATTGGTAGAACTTCCAAGAAAATAGGGAGAGTGTTACGAACGTCCAAAAAACGAGGACAAAGATTCTCCTACGATTCTCGTAGAATCTTTCGGTGTTTTTGGAGAAGAATTTGCTGATTGGGGTTCTGTATTCCTTAGGGATCATGGTTCTTGCGAGTGTTCCGGTTTTTTCCGACGGCTTTTTGCCTTCGTTCGAGGTCACCATTCCTCTCAACAGTGTTTCGAGTTGCCACATCTGTTTTTCGAGGTAATTATATATTTATAAATCTTTTCAAAAAATTAAATATATATAAATTAAGAGAAACCTCTATGTATCCTTGATGATCAGGATCAAGCTCTTCCATGATTAAAGAAGCATATGTTGAAGCTTCTTGCTTGAATTTGGACAGCTTGTTTGCTGAGGCACTCATTACTAAAACCTTAAAAATAACAAAAATTAGAAACATTTTCTTGATTCATAAAATTTAAAAAAAAATAATAAAAAAAAGAAATTAAACAAAAAGAAAGGTGTGTAATAATAATTAATTAGTTTGATGATTAACCTCATCTTCTGATAACTGCCCATCACCATTCTTGTCACACCTAAAAAAAAGTCAAATCTAAATTCATCAACCTATTTTGACTTTTTTTTCATCATTAAAAAAAACACACACACAAAAAACACACATTGAAAGTTTTCTTACATGTCAAAGAAAATCTGAAGCCTAGTATCCAAGTCATTGTTAGTCATGTCTTCCCAAAATTCCCTAACTTGTTCGATATTTATCCCGTTTTCCGCCACGATATTCCTTCGTCTCGCCAAAGCCTCGAACAACTCCCCGGCAAATTCTTTGCTGTCTCCCATCCCTTCACACACACAAAACACACAAAACACGTTTCGTAAATAAAATTCACCACGTGCACAATATAATCAACAAACAAAATACACACAATAAAATAAATAAAGTACCAATGCAGACCCCAAATTTGTCCTTAAACAACATTCCGTCAACGGAATTCTGATTGAACCGCTTCTCGATCGCCTTCCAAGCATCCTCTTCTTTCCCGGTCCTCGTTCGATCGAGAAACCGGAGGCTCATCAAACCCTTGGCCGCAGTGGATTCGGTCCTACCCATTTTAGGACCCGAATCTTGAACCCGGTTCCTCTTCATTATGCTGCTAGTTTTTCTCTTCAAATATCCCTCTTTCGAAGCGGGTCCTGCTTGCCCTTCTCCCAAAATCGGTACCTCCGACATGCTATCAATATCTATTTTCTCAAGAATCCATTTTACGGACTCCCCTCTCGATAATTCTGACATCTCCGTGGATGCCATGAAAAAAATTTCTCCTTTATCTTTTCTTTTTTTTTTTTCAAAAAAAACAAAATCCCACTATTTTAGGAGAGGGTATTTTTTTATATATATATATATATGTATATGCATGTATGGATGAAGAAGATAGCCGGAAAATGAAAAGGAGAAGGAAAAAGTTAGTTAGATTAGTTATTATACCTCAAAAAGGCATATTTAAAAAGATTCCTTTTGTTTAGGTAAATATGGATGGTTCATTGATCTTATAGTAGCTAAACTTTTACAAGTTGTTTATTTTTCTTGAATATTAATTGTTCTTCCGTGGTTAGATTCATTGCACAATAGCAATGATAAATTGAGCAAATTAATTATTTTTTTATTTGTTTGGTGACAAATTAGGGGGGGAAAAAGCTTGCCAAGAATTTAGTAGGGGGCACGTCGTTAAGTTAGTTAGGAATGTTAGTTGTAGGTAAAGGTTGACATTTTGTTTTGGGAATAAAGTAAGGATTGACATTTTTGATTAATTCATGATTGAAATCACTAAACAACGTGCGTGGGAGTTGGGACTTGGGACCTATAAATAAATAATATTTTATTATTTTTACGTAAAGGATTTAATTTGAGGTTTAATTCTTGAACTAAACAAACATCGAACTGCAAAATTCTGACATGCAGTTCGATTTCATTATGGGCTTGGGTCACCACTAGTGGGCCACCATGGTAAAGTCCATTGGGCCTTCTTTGAAAAGAAAAATAAATATTTTTTTTTTAGAATTGAAATACAATATGTGAATGCCGAACATCAATCGTAACTTTGGCGGTCGATAGGTCGAGTTTTTCACACATGGTTAGTCTAGTGTGGTTATATTTTTCGTATGGTTTATAAGCTGCTATACGAGAGTGTAGGTTTACGCATGTGTGGATATGGTAAGCAGTGGCGAGTCCAGGAATTTGGTACGGGGGGGCTTCAATTTTCGGGGGTTCGGGGGCAGCGCCCCCGATATTTTTTTAGGATTTTTTTGAAAATAGGAAAAGGAGAAACGAAAAAACAAAAGAAAAAAACAAATTTTCGAGTTTTTTTTTTGTATTAATTTGGATTTTGGGTGGGCTAATTAATAAAATTTGGGACTTTTTTTTATTAATTTGAATTTTAGGTAGGCTAATTAATAAAATATGGGACTTCTTTTGCATTAATTGAAATTTTGGGTGGGCTAGTTAATAAAATTTGAGTGGGCTAAATAGAAATATGGTATAATATATGAGCAAAATTAAAAAACGAGGGTGGGCTTGAGTCCACCCTTACCCAAGAGTGGACTCGCCCCTGATGGTAGGTCAACCGTACCAATCACCTTGAATTACTATCGTTATCGAAATTTCCATATTATGAAATTCGTTACCATTATCAAATTATGTTATCTGCTATTTTAGCCATAATTGAATATCATGTTTTCAAAGCAATTCTCGTTTAAAATGCTCGAAACTAGTATTTTAGATAAATGTATTCTAAATATATATTCTTAACTTACATAATATAAAATATTTCTTAACTATAATTATAAAATAATAACTTAACATAAATTATAACATCATTAATTAAATAATTCAAAATATTTTTGACATATCTAAAATGTACAATTAATTTTAACTAATAATAGTTACTAAGCAGATATATTCACTATTTATACAAAATAGATTAATTATTTTTATTTATTAAAAGTATTATGTACGGTAGGATAATACCGTTTTAATTATATTGCCCTACCAAAATATTTTAGTAAGATACGGTATATTACGAAAATCTTTCGGTAGAAATTGTACAACAGAAAATTGGTACGGTTCGCTAGGGCAACGGGTTGGTCATTTGATTCATATTTAGAAATATTAGCTGAATAATTCATGCTTAGGAATTTTATCAAAATATCCTTTGAATTATATGATGCATAATTATTTTGAAAGTATAATAATTTAGTTTTTACTTTTTTTGTTATTCCTCATTCTCATGTCTATTTTGGTAATTTGACTGATTGATTCTTCTCCCTCAGTATCGAACGGCTTACACTCGTCGTCTTCTTTCTTCTTTCACCCAAGTCCAAGTGTACTCTCTCTCTCACACACACACACACACAGGCGTACACATTACACACACTTTCTCTCACACATTATATAACCGTTTTCACTTCCCCTCTTTTCTTTAATATTACATCTAGGGTTTCCCATGCTGCAAACCCGTTGTTCTGATCGCCGAAGATTTCTGTTCGCCGGTTCTCCAATTAACGAATTTCAGGTGATTTTCGACCTCGTATCATTCTTCCCCTTTTCCACAAGTCTGAATTTGTAGATTTCGCTCGATTATCTATTTGATTTAATTTTCGTTTTCTTTTTTCTCTTTTTTTCTGGTGGATTTTTCGCAGCTTCTGTTTTTTTGTGTCTGCATTCTAATCGTGGCGTTTCTTTTATTTGGTTAGGGTTCCGAGTCCGATTGATAGGTTGTTCGGATTAGGTCTTCAGTCTGAAAAGGGGATTCTATTTAGCGGGTGGTGCTTTTTGTTTCTTTCTGGGCTGGCGATTCTGTTTTCAGAAGGACTAGTTCTCTCGTCGGTTCAATTCTTACCTGGTTCTGTTCTGCTTTTCTAGGGTTTTGAATTTTGAATTTGGACCGAAGACATTCTGGAATTGGGATTTCTGAAATAGTGATAAAGCCGGTGAATGGCGATTGAAAAGAATAATACCTTCAAGGTGGCTCGTTTTGACCCTGAGTATCATTCCCTGCACAGTAGGGACAAACTTTTGTCGAGCGATGATGAAGATTTTCAGCGGCCAAACCCTGCACCAGCTGTTGAATCAGATGAAGACGATGATGGTGAGTTTGACGAATGTGATTCTGGAGCAGGCTCTGACGACTTCGATTTACTGGAGTTGGGTGAAACCGGTGAGGAGTTTTGCCAGGTGGAGGATCAAACTTGTAGCATTCCCTACGAGTTGTACGATCTTCCTGGCTTAAAACATTTGCTGTCTATGGAGGTGTGGAACGAGTGTCTAACCGAAGAGGAAAGATTTGGTCTTGCCAGGTATTTACCTGACATGGACCAAGAGAATTTTGTGGTCACGCTGAAAGAGCTTTTCGCCGGTGATAATTTGCATTTCGGCAGCCCTGTTGATAAGTTGTTTGATATGTTGAAAGGAGGGCTTTGTGAGCCGAGGGTGGCACTTTATCGGCGGGGCTGGAAATTTTTCCAGAGAAGACAGCATTATCATAACTTGAGGAAACATCAGAATTCCATGGTGAATAGTTTCTGTCAGATGAGGGATACGTGGCTGAATTACAGAGGTTACAGTATCGAAGAGAAGCTTCGTGTGTTGAATATTATGAAGAGTGAGAAGAGTTTGATGAATGAGTCTTCTGACCCAGAGGAGTCGGGCGATGATTTGTGGGGCCCAAATATTTCTTCTCGTGGGCCAAAACCTACCAACGAGCCATCAAAACATGGGAAGCAGAAACGAAGAGGAGCAGACAATATTCCTCCAACCCAGCAAAGAATCAAAATGAAGTCAGGGCGCAGTAATTCTTCTGCGGCAGTCAGGTTGAATGAGCATATGATAGAAGATGATGATGAGGAAGAAAGTATATATGAAGTGGCTGTGCACAGAGAAAAACCTGAGGCTTCAAAGTTTGGGAAGAAACGTGAAAGCACAAGAGCTGAAGATGATGTGGATACTTTCAGGGGTATTCCTATCTCAGTGAGGAATGATTTGCATGCTCTTGGCAGGAATAAGACCATTAATCAGTTGTCTGATATCGAGGTGTTAACTTCAAAGCCGTCTAATGCGAAAAATATATCCGATCGAGGGAAAAGAGTTAAGTACGAGAATCTTCAGCATATGAAATCTGGCAAGGGTCAGAAGTCGAATTCGGTAAACCTTTTAATTGGAAGTGATCCAGCATGGCTCAGTAAACAACACGGGGGTTTACTTCCCCCCGAATTATCATATAAGCCCAGTTATTCGAATGCCAAAAATAAGAAGTGGAAGATGGGTAAGGAAGCCGTTGAGTTCAATGAGAATCACACGTTAATGCATGCCGATCATAGAGCTAAACCTTTAGAGGATACATTTGCGAAAAGTGAAGAAACGGAATCGGATTCCTCTGAACAAATGGATGAGAATGAGGATGGCAATCCTTTGATGAGGAGCAAATGGGCTTACCCTGGTACTATGGCAGATTCTAGATATGTCCCGCATACAAAGAAGGGCAAATTTTCTGAGAAAGATAAAAAGGGCAGTCACCTGAAGCTCGCTCAATCATCACAGTCTTCCCAAAAATTTGAGGGTAGCATCGATCTTGAGGCGATGAAAGCAGAACAAAAGGGAAAGATGCATAACGTGGGCTACTTGAATATTTTGCCCACCAATGGTTTGGATAAAGACTATTTTCCTCGACCAGATAATGTATTCTACCCATTGGGACACAGTGGTCACGTTGAAGGGAACTACAGCAACAGTTTCCATATACCGTCACTGAAATCCTCTCTGGTGGGAGATAGAAGGATCAAAGGTGAAATTCTCTCTGAATTTGATGTACTTCAGTCAACTTATATGCATGACTATAAACTTCAAGGTGATTTATTTCGGACACGCCAGCTGGGGGCAGATAATGGGATTCCTTTTGAATTGGGTAGGAAGAACCAGATGATGGATCCGTCCACTGGCCATCATCATCTTGAGCCATTGATGGGGTGTAGCAATCTCTCAAAGAAACGGAAAATAAAACACGATATGGTATACACGCACCTGCAAGATAATAATGACTACCTTCGTGATGAGGCTCAGGTGCAACTCGATAACATGGGTTCGTTGAAAAAACGTGGAAAGAACAAGTTAGAGGATGTTTCGGATTCTCTTGAGAAGGAATTATCTGAGCAGCCTCCTATTCTGGAGATGGAAACGGAAGATGTTGCGACAGAAACTAAACCACAGAAAAAGCCGTTCCCTTTAATCACACCAACTGTTCATTCGGGATTCTCGTTTTCCATCATTCATCTTCTTTCAGCAGTTCGCACGGCAATGATCACTCTGCTTCCGGAAGATTCCTCAGAAGCCAGAAAGCATCTCGGTAAGAACGATGCGGAGCAATGCAGTAGCAAACAGGAAGACACCATAGTGGATATTAACGCTTCTCTCCCTTGTGATGAAGCAAATAATGTCCCTTCTCTCACTGTTCAGGAAATTGTTAGCCGTGTTAGATCGAACCCTGGAGATCCCTCTATTACGGAAACACAGGAACCACTTCAGGATTTGGTAAGAAGTGTTTTAAGAATATTTGCATCAAGAACCGCACCCCTAGGAGCGAAAGGGTGGAAGCCGCTCGTTGTATATGAAAGATCTTCAAAGAGTTGGACATGGGTTGGTCCTGTTTCTCGTAATTTATCCGACTCTGAAGCGGTTGAAGAGGTGACATCTCCAGATTATTGGGGCCTTCCTCATAGAATGCTTGTCAAGTTAGTCGACTCGTTTGCTAATTGGCTGAAAAATAGTCAGGATGCACTTCAGCAAATTGGAACCCTCCCTTCACCTCCTTCAACACTGGTGCAAATCAATTTGGACGAGAAAGAAAGATTCAAAGACACGAGAGCTCAGAAAAGTCTCAGTACAATCAGCCCGAGCAGTGAAGAAGTGAGAGCTTATTTCCAGAAAGAAGAAGTTCTTCGATATTTGATACCAGACAGGGCTTTTTCTTACACAGCTATCGATGGCAAAAAATCCATCGTGGCTCCTTTGAGACGGTGCGGTGGAAAGCCAACATCAAAGGCACGAGACCATTTTATGCTTAAACGGGATAGGCCGCCACATGTCACGATCCTGTGTCTCGTGAGAGATGCAGCAGCTAGATTGCCTGGGAGTATTGGGACGAGGGCAGATGTTTGTACATTGATTAGAGATTCGCAGTATGTTATGGAAGATGTGTCCGATGCACAGGTGAATCAAGTGGTTAGTGGAGCATTGGACCGTCTGCATTACGAGCGGGACCCTTGTGTGCAATTCGACGGTGAGAGGAAATTGTGGGTCTATTTGCATAGAGAGAGAGAGGAGGAAGATTTTGAGGATGATGGGACTTCGTCCACAAAGAAATGGAGAAGGCAAAAGAAAGAAGCTACTGAGGCTGTTGAGCAATCGGGATTTGATTTGGATGATCAGGTGGATGACAATGCTGAAATTGATATGGAAGAAAATAAATTGCTCGGCCAAGAGAATAATGATTCTACTGATATAGGTTTTCATGATGGGACTTTTGGTGGGGAGCCACCAGCATGATTGTTCTATGAGGTAATTTACGATTAATTGGGAAAGTGTTTGCCTTAGTTTCAGCCTTCTTATTCATTTTGTTTCTTCCCTTGAGATTTAAGATGATTCAGATCTCGATCGACCTTGTTACGTATAATTGAGAAATGGTTTGGTATTTCGTAATAGCATTAACGAAGTAATGTGTAGATTGTTGAAAGTGACTGCAACATATGCTTATAGATTATTGAAATTGTATTTATCTTCTCTTTTCTCTCCATTTATCCCCCTTCTTTTCGCTCTAATCTTTATTCTTCGATCTTATTTTTCACCTCGAATTATGTTTAAACAGTCATATATCCAGAACTTGGGTTTATTTGGCAGAGAATAATTATACATAAAGAACTACTTATGCGAGTGTTTATGTAGAACACCATTAATTGTATATTAATTCCATAAATTAACGAAGTCAAAGGTTATATATTAAGACAATAAACCCCACTGTTAAAGAATAATTATAATCAGACACAAAAGCCTTTCAAATCTGCAGAAGATTTTATATTTTCTCAGGACACTACTACAAATCAGTTTAATGAGTAAATCCTAAAACAAGCACCAAAATCGAAAAATAATGATTTTCTTACACTGGAGAATTTCAAAGAAGTGAAATTCCAAGTTCTACTGTTTGCTGTGGAGATGGCTCACTCATCCATCTCCACAAAAAAAAAAAAAAAAAAAGAATTTAATCCATCAAGAATAGCAATAATCGGACAAATATAATTGGTTTCTCTACTTCAAGCCACTACTTTCTGTACAACAGGTAACTTTAAAATCTTATTGCTACTTCATATGCATATACTAATCCACTCCCTTTAGTTGATTGCAGTGAGAGGAACTCGAGGGTCTCTCAAAGAGACGGCCGCTTCTAAGATGTGCTTAACTTCTCCATTTGCTTGCTGCTTCGATGATTTTGCATCCCAAAACGATTTTAGTAGTTCTTCAAAGGATGGCGTTCTCAGTTCCTCAATGGAAGCAGCACTCGGAGGGCTAATCGGTCTTTTTCTCGGCGTTGAGCATGATGGTTCGTCAACCTGCGAATATATGTATAGAAAAATAAAATGAAAAATCCGATCTAGCGATCCAAGTTGTTTGTATCCGGTTGTCTTTTCTTACCATGTACTCTTCTAGCAGGCATTTTCCTGCATTATCTGTGATTTCCACAATCTTGTGGTAATGCCCATTATTCAATTCTCTCAAGTCTCCACAGCAAGGAACAATCATGGAATCAAGATTACTACAAGCCTCATGGTCAAGTTGTAACGAACCTGCAAAGTTTGTTTCAGCTTTATACAAATGTTTGAACACTATAATTTTTCTATCGATTCTGAACTCCGTAATAATACATGCAAAAAAAGGTAAAATCTTACGGTCAATGGATGAGAGAATATTCTTGCTTCCAGTATCAGCATCTTCCAGCGCAGAACTCACAGCAGAAGAGAACTGTTCTCGTAAGACTTCAATCGTGTTCATCCCTCCCCTAGAGAGTAAAGAACAGCAGCACATTCACATAAAAGAAGCCAATGCAAAATAGGGCTGATTTTGAAACAAAATCCTGTAATTTTATTACTAACCTAACTATTTCGTCCACTGAGGCAACATTTGTCTTCTCTAGATGAAGCAGTGAATCCTGAGCGCGTTTCCATTGTTCTGCACCCAATTTTGCTTGCCCCAAACTGCATATTTTGAGTTCCAATTAAGCAATGTGATATAAAAATGTATACCGTAACGTTTATAGAGGAATGTTTCTAACCATTTGTGGAGAACGCCTTCCATATCTTCTTTCCCAATTTCGACTGATGCCGTGTCCTCAAGATAGCGAGATTCAGTGCTCTGTGTGTAACTTGTCCATTCAGTTTTAATAGAACAAGTGTTTTGTTGCATAATTGACATCTCTTGCTGTAATTTGTTTGTTCTGTTTGCTGCGTTCTCCCTAAGGCCATCAACTGAACATTTAACCTAGTGCACGAAAATCAAAAGACTTAGTGTAAGGAATTTGCTTGTGGTCACCACCATTTGACTTTTGCATGTCGATGGACAATTTCTGTTTTGGCCATGAAACTTTGATATTGTTGAAAAAACAATCTTTATATTTCATCAGAACTCACAACTAGTAAAAAGAAATCTCGGAAAAGACGGTGGAATGAGGGAAATGAATTATTTTAAAGGTACCAGTTTTTTCTTCCGAGTATTCGATTCAGCAAGCAGCTCTGCCACTTTTGCTAATAGTTGTTTTTCTTCATGGGCAGCACACTCCTGCAGTGAATCATACACTCGCTCAGAGAAAAACCCACATGTAAACTACTTCAAGGTAAAGTGGTGTTTCTAGTTACCTCAAACTTCTTTTCAAGCTCAGATAATTTCTGATCATTACTTGTCTGCGCCTCTTCCACAATTTGGCCCAACTTTGAAGCATGCCCATCTAAAGTCTCAAAGAAGTTTACAGTAACGTTGGAAATTGATCTTGTGGTCTCGACAGTTCTGCTATGAGCCTGTACAATGTTTAATTGTCAATAAAAACCCTTTGTGAAAAGAAACTATGAAAGGATAGAGTAACCGGAATAAAAACCTCTCGTTGCTGTTGTGCATAGGCAGTTAACTTTTTCTCCTGACTATGCAGACTATCTTGGAGATCATGAAGTAAACTATCAGCCTCGGAAGTAATTCCTTCAAAAAGCTGAAACACATAATATAACAGTCAAATCGTGCTAAATTTCGGTTATATAGCAAGTCCTCAATGCAGTTTCAGTGAACACAAACCTCTTCTAAGGCCAATGAGTGTTTTGAAACTTCAGAGTTCAGCCGACCAAAAGTTGACTGAGAGTTAGAATCAAGTTCTCCAGCTAAATCATCTAAAGCCTTGATACCAGAGCCATACATGGTTTTCAATTTTTCTAGATGATTCCTAAGCTCTTCAGTAGCCTACAAGTGGAAGAAAAAGTTTAAGGAAAATGCACTTACAAACTATTTCAGGTGTTCGCTATACAGATGAACTATATACCTGAGTCTTTGTGGATACAAATGAATGCATGTCTTCTTCCATCCCTTTCAGTTGTTGTTCTTGCTCTGTAGTCGAAGATGCCACAGCTTTGTGCAAGATTTCAAGCTGCTGAGTCAATTGAGATTGGAACTTTTGTATAAGAATTCTGTTGCCATCTTCTATTTTGTCCTTGCGCTCTGGAAGATTAGCAGTATTTAAATTAGGAAAATAACATTTTTTACTTAAAAAGTAAAGCATCAGGGTATTTTCTGAGTAAAGATGCAGACCAATCTTGGTGAAGAGATTAGTGACATCTGATGCAGCATGCTCCAGTTCTGCTCGAAGCTCAAGTGCCCGCTCAACGAGTGATTTCTCTGGTAGAAAAAAGTTGCATGAAAATGTGATAGAGCAGTGTATATTTTATCATAACCTAACCTCAAAAGTCTTTTGTAATCACAAGTCGAAGGAAAACATATATATATTTGGTTGATGGTGGAAGAAGGCCAAAAGGTGAGATTGCATTATTCAGAATGATTTGTACAAAATTAACTTTATTGGAATTATGAAAAAGATGCCACCTACCAGACTTAAGAAGATTGGATATCAGGTATTCCTTTTCTTTAATTGTTGCATTTGCCTGCCTATGTCTTTCTTCAAGATCAAGCAACGCATGCTCAGTTCCCTGAAGCTTTTTCTGAATTACAACCAAAAGCCTAGTTAATTTATAACAGTAAGGCAAAAAAGAGGAAGGCCATTATTAAAATTGTGGACGTTCATTTATTACCTCAGTCTTTTCAAGTTTATCACTCAGCTCAACAGTCAACTGCTGCTGAGAATTGTACAATTCTTGGAGCTCCGCTAGTTGCTGTTCAGGATGCCCCAAGTTATAATCTTACTCATTTCAATATACCAAAAACCAAAAGTTCTAGTAAGAATTTTGTTATATACCTTGTCCCTGGAATCAAAATCAAGTTCCATTCGCTCTATCTTCTCTGTCATAGCCTGAGAAGTGAGAGATTAAAAGTCAATAAGTTGGAAATCCTTCGTAGCTTCTTAAATAGTTGCAGTATATGTACATGAATACACTTGATAGCAGTATAGCACCACACCTTTTTATCTGCCTCGTCTTGGAGATAACGATCTCTTGGTATGTAGATCCCATTCTTCTCTCTTGCAGCATACACCTCTAAAAAACATAAAGTTAATGTAAGGTAATAAAAAATATGATTAAAGGAAAATTCTCAATAAATTGAATTTTAATTATTCAATGACAAGAATTGAATTTCACACAGAGAGAGATCAGTTATCAACCTTGCTTTAGCCGATCAATTTCAAAATACAAATCCTTGATTACTGCAGATTTCATCATCTTCTGATTGATCTGTTAATCATATTAACCAATAAATACTTCATCTGTTGGTCAATAGAATTGAGAGCAAAGCAGCTGACAATGTCAATACTAACCTCTGGTTTGTTCTTTATGTTTTTGGCTCGGTGAGCATAATCTAAAGTGCTCAGTGTCTCTTCCAAACAATGTATAGAGGGGGATATAGTCGCAATTATACACGTCTTTGTTTTCCCTCCCAGAGAATCTCTCAGCAACCTTGTTAACTTGCTGTCCCTGAAGATTTCAGGTTACAATGTTTAATAATCATTATGAACATGCCTGGCCAAAGTAAACAATAAATTTGAAAGATCCATACCTGTAGGGAATATGACCAGAATGCTCAACCAGAGCATTTATTACTCGACCAAGTGTCAGCAAGCTCTTGTTAATTTCACCTGCCTCCCTTGCTCTGCCCTGCAGAAGTAAATAAAAAAATTTAAACACAACAGAGCTTTTTATAGAATATGAAATATTTTTTATCAAATAATGCCCTTCAGAATCCATTATATTCTACTATATGATGCATCCACAAGTTCAAAATTATCAAATTCTGTAATTTTCTCACATCTCGGGCACCAGAGCGTGAAATATTCTCTGAGCCAGCAAGATCAACAAGATTAAGCTTCCCACATTTGATCATTTCCTCTCCTTCTGGAGTACACTCTTTGATGTGAATTGTGATAGAAAAAATAGAGTGAGAACGACTGCTCTGTTTATTGAGAAGAGTCTCTGCTGTTCTCCTTTTAGCAGAACCTTTCTCTAAGATCTTATAGATTTCATTTGCAGTAGTCACTATTTCCTCCTCCAATCCCCTAACCAAAACTCCGCCTTTTCCGTCTTCCATGAGCGCTATTGGTTTCTTCGACTTGTCATCAGTGAATTTTGAGCATTCTTCTGGTGCCAAAAGATCTGATATTTCCTCATTGTATAGCTCTAAGAACGTAACCTTCATGCTATATTCAGCATTCTGAGCCTCTAAGATATCAAATATTTGTCTAACAGCTCTCGGAATGACACCCGCATCACTTGGAAATTCACCATTCTAAACAGAAAGAAAAGTCAAATCACCTTAATGAAGAGACAAATGTAATAGCATAAAAAAAAATTACAGATAAAAAGATTTTTCCATCAGTAGCGATCAAACCTTTTTCCTTGCTCCACCCTCCATAGTGTAAGTCTTTCCAGTTCCTGTTTGCCCATAGGCAAAGATGGTGCAATTATAGCCCTCTAGGACTTCAAACACTATCGGGCTGACTGCTTGATGGTATAAATCCTTTTGCTGCGACGATGGACCAAAGACCTGAACACAAGTTTAATGTGAGAAAATAGAATTTCAGAACTTTGATGGAAATGAGAAACAACTATTTGTCACACACGACGTAAATCAGCATTGACAACTCTTTTGATGAGTAATCGAAATCCTGAATTCGCAATATGGAATTCAGAAAGCCCGTATGACTTTCAAAAGCTATAGAACGCAGTTCAGTTTTTCTCTTTCAGGTTTTCCTCTGTTTCTCCCCGTATTTTATTTCCTACAACCAGAACATTGTTAAACAGAGGCAAAACCTTGTCAAAGAGGAAAGTCCTATCAATCTGCTTGTTAGCAATATTCTGAACAGCACAAACTTCTCTTCTGTTGTCATTGCAAGAAATCACCACAGGGGTGTGTACTTTGATCTCATCATCACTCAATGGCCTGTGAAAAATAAACCCAG